GTCGCTTCAGCCTCACAAAGCCTAAAATGGTGCTGGTCAGATGACGGACTCAGGCCTCAGAAGGGTAATCTGGGTCCACAGTGCATGTGACTAACCTTTGCATTAAACAGTGACATACTGTTTTTGAGTTGTACACAAAGAAGTCGGCAGTCGAGGCTACCCGGAAGAAGGGGCTGACCTGTGTTCTCTTAGGCATCCTGTTTTTCACTCTGTGTTGGCAGAGGGAAATAAAGGATGCTCAACAAGCAAACCAGACAAACAAAAGCCGCTCTCAACTCCTCTGCATTTTAACAAATAAACTCCCAAATTTAATCTCATTTGGATTATTCCGCCCATTAAAATCCAACTAGCATGCATCAGATCCAGCAACCCTAAAGATAAAGTAATCGTGCATGATGCGTTTCGACCTTGCTGGGAGTGTGTTGTGCATATATGAGTGTGTAACGTGGGTCTTAGTCAGACCAAACACCACACCAGTAGGAGGCAGAGCTCCTGGGAGACATTTTTATGCTCGGCGCTCTAAACATCGAATGCTTTCCTCACAGACGGGGTGCAGAGCTGCCCCCTGATTTGTTGCAAAGGTCTCGTGTGTTTCACTGTTATGCTGTATTTACATCTCCGTGCCAGTTCCCGTCTCTTGTGATTTTCCAGAGCAGCTTCTCTGCGACTGGAATTGACCTGTCATCAAATGGTCTCCTCTCATAAGCGGAGACTTTGTTTTTTCTTCCTGTAAATATGTATAAAGTCTGCTTTAAACTGACTGTTTGTGTTTTGCGGTTTAATTTCCTATCAAGAAATACATACAATGTTTTAACTACTCCAACCACACATGTATACACCAGATGTAATACACAACTCTGTCCAGTAAAAACCACATGTAGTGTATTACTACAGAAACCTGCTTCAGTAAACTTTCCTCCTCTTGTCATTTTGCTGTTTTATTACATACATTGTTGCTCAGATCTTATATGTGATTTACCTTTATAAAGAATTTACTGTCTCCTTTTGCCAGGACCATTTTTCTGTAGAATGTGACTGTGAAGGTACGTGTCTGATCAAAATAATCCAGTTTGGGTTCCACTGTACAAAACAGCAGCTTACCGTTCAACGCCAAAGTTCGATCCGTCTTTGCCAAACTGACCGCTGCTGCACTTCATCATTCTGTGTTAAACAACTGGTATGCTGAGCAATCAGATGGGAGAATGATACATTCCAGTCGTTCCAGATACTGAAAACCCGTCACAGGGTGTGATTTACTGTTGGCGAGCATGCGGGTCAGCAGCAGTTCATTGTTCTCGGCTGCTTATGAACGTTATGCAGTCCTCACCAGACTTTACAGATTCCAGCCAAATACAAGCCACTGTGGCCTCTTTTCTTAAACAGCTGAGGTGTATTTATTTCCCTGTCATGAACGGGATATAACCCTTGAGTAGACAATAATACACTTAGAAATGAATGGCTGTTTGAGAGCCGTGTTTTTGTTTTTTACTGAAATTCCTTCTGTTTTTTTACTTGACTGCCTGTGGTATCATTATTCATAATATGTTAGCTCTCTTTTTATATTCTTGTCAAACGACAGCGGTAAACCATGACATCCAGACTTTGACCCCTCTGCCCTTTGCTCCCTTATCGATGAGAAAATATAATCAAACTGTCCGTTATAATCGTCCCTCTGCAAACGTCGCCTGTAACCACTCAAGTTGTTAAACGAAACCAATGGAATAATCTGCCAATGTGATTTGTCAAATTAATTTTTAAAAAATCGAATGAAAAATGTTATCACGATAAAAAATTAATGTTATCTAAAGCTCCTCTGAGCCAACCCTTTTCTGTGATTTTTAAAGCCACACAGAAATGTAAAAATTCTGATAGGATGGCAACCCTTTAAATGTATGCTCCGACTAAATTCCAATAGTTTCATTCCTCAGAAATGTTTGGTTAAAACCAGGATTTTGAGATAACGTATCTCAACTGAAAAACATTTTTTAAAGATTTTTTTAATACCATAGGGCTTATCTGAGAGCCCAGAAGGTTGTGGATGACACGAGGTCACACCTGTCAAAAGGTTTCTGTCAGTCATTTTTACAGAGTGGTGTCATCTTATATGCACATAATGTCTAAAAAAACGAAACACAATCTAACCCAGCTGTTATTGTGTCACATGAACAACTTCAATTTTTTTCTGTTACGCTGGATGAAACATCATGTTTCGTCCTTTGTATTTGCATCTTTTAAGCTAGTCGATAAAACTACAATCTGTGTCATGTCTGAAACTGCAGAGGAAGGTGACAGCTAATGCCCTTACTCAGTAAGAAAATATGACAGTAGGAAAATCTAACAAAAAAGAACCTATAAGAGGAACTCTTGAGAGAAGGTTGTGACATTTGCACAGAGAATGACTCATGCAACCTTTTGACTTTTTCCATCTGCTCCGTCAGCCATAAAGACATCTATTCACCAATTTGCTTAAAAAAGTGCCTTTAAGTGTCATGAGAGGTTTCTGCACTTACAACAAAGTCCTCGTGCCAAATAAAACCTGCCAGCTCAAATGTTTAATACTGAATTCTACTGCTAAATGCCCCAGTTGTGTATTTGAAAAACTCTACTGTTGATTTAGGGCCATTATGGTTTTTTGGAAATACAGGAATTTTCACAGACATTTGATAATTTACATTTTTCTGTAACCACTGGACGTGCATTCTTGATTTTTCTCTGCATCCCCCATGACAACTCACAGAAACCCGCTTTCCAAGCAGACTGGTTTCACCCTGACACCACACAAGGCTGGGCTTTGTTTCGGTTTTGGAAACATCTTTGGCCCTCCAACTTATAGGAAACTCTCATGAATACTATCCTGAATTCCATTCAGGATTTACATTATGTGGTATTCATGAAAAAAGCCAGGATGACACTTCAATTATTATCTATTACTTATAACTGCTAAACGACTATAAAGTCAGGGGTCGTTTAAAAAGCTTAATGTTCTTTACAGCTATTTGAAACTATGAGAAACTCGGGGGCCAAATTTTCTGCAACAATCTTTCAGAAATGAATTATATTTATTAATTTCATGGTAAACTTGCAAGGTAAAGCCCTTAGCTGACCGTATCAAAGGGCATTGGCAGTTTAACAATAAAGACTCTTTAACTTGTTTAGGAAAATGGTTGCAGACTTTCCAAGTGAAGTTAATATGGCATCATTTAGCTTCCAATACTAGAAAAACTTCCATTAGAGACATTTCAATTGGCTCAAAGTCGTTATGGAAATCACCCAAAAATATTTGGCAGAAATTCATCAAATGTGAGGTCTTTTCTTTTATTGACTAGCAGTTAGAGGACTTAGTATGACTTGGTATTGTATGAAATCTGTTTCAAATGAGTGGAAATGCACATATTTAAACATAAATCTGGTGTTGATCGACAGATCTCATCACTGTCTGTTAAATTTAAAAGGCCTGAATGTCCTGGACAATGTTTCAAGCAATTATTATCTGTACCATCCAACTTTAGCAGCCGTTTGATGCTATCCGACTTAAAGTAAAAGGTCTACCTTTCTTTTTGGCCACCAACATATTAGGAGCCTGAGTTTGCAACTTTTACAACGAAAAACAACTTCTGTACGGAGACACATGCTCTGGATTTTCAACTTTTGCCCTTTTCTGTGGCAGTTACTTTACAATTAAAATAGCTTCTCTCTGACAGTGTTGCTCTCAACAAAGAAAATGACTTCAGCAAAAGAGCTGTCTATAGGGAAAATCTAAACTAATAGCGTATTTCTGTGGCTTAATTGTCTATTTCTTTTGCTTTGATGTGAGTCGCACATGGGGGGAGAACAAATGGGATGAAATGTCTGCATCCCCACTGAGAGAAAGGGCGCAGCTGGCCTGGTTGAATGGGGTAGATTAGAAATTTTACAAGATCTTTAGATGTGGTGACGTGGCGGTTTTGAATCCTCTTTCCTTCTTCTTCTGTTTGTCATTTGTTACCACATTCAGTGGTAAAAAAAAAAAAGCCATGAACCTGGGTTTGGCCCATCTGTGTATAAAAAGGTCAAAGCAAGGTTTTTCAGTTACTTTTCTAAAGATCTTCGAAATTAATTAGAGATTATGAGAAATGGCATTTGTAGTTTGTAGAAACTCTCAACATTTTAGCGTGACTGTCTTGTACACATAATACCTGTCTTGAAGGTCCAACAATAGAATCTCAACATACAAAATTTCGAATAACTATATCCACCTTAAATCGATTACTTTAAAATCTATTACATTTAATATGTTAGCTATATTCGTTAAATGTATTTATTCGTATTTGATGTATAAACAGCATATTGTCTGTTTGGGTTTCTTGAGTTTGGGTGAAGAGATTAAATACTTATCTACAACAAAAAGAAAAGTAATTGTTAGTAAACAGATGTGAATCATAAAGACAAACCAGGAGTGTTTCTGATGTAACACTATAAAAATCAGAAACAAAACAGATGTATTCAAAGTCAACAGACCATACAGATATTTAGGTATTTCTTGAATTGTTTTATTGCTAAACTGTGAGTCAGCGTGGTGCATCTGTAAGTGAAACAGATCCAACTTCCACCTGAGTGGTGAAATCTGCTATGCTTTGCCATGTTTATTATAACAAAATCTTGAGTATGCAACTGCACGTCTAGGAAAAATTTAGCCTGAGGGCCTATGGTGTGTGTCTCCATCTGTTGGGACTAAAGAGGTACATGCAGGATGAACCATGCAGACTTGGAAAAAGACTCAAACTGTCAATCTACAACCCACACAAGGAAAATGTTGCTCATAGTCATGATGCTGAACAATGCTACAGCTTTATTCAATCACAATTTGAATTTAATAACATATTAATAACAATCACTTATTTGTATTTTGGCCTAAAATAGGATTAATTAAATAAACATAACACCATCTTGTACCTTGCTGTTTTGCAATGCAGTTGGAGATAAATTAAGATTAAACTGGCACTGTGAAAGGTATGGCACCCTCAGTTTTGTAAAGCGGAACAGATCTTTTGAGGTTCGTGGGGAAGGATATTTTGTTCGGACTCGGTTGTTGCTGTTGCATCTTACAGAAGAGAAACTGCTCCGGTGAGAGTTTTATGTATTTAAATGTCCCTTTTTTAAATCACATTATAAACTTTTGTGCAACAAGACTTGGGGTAAACCTTAAATAATTTTGCTGTGTTCATTTTATTGATAATTAATGCCGAGTTATGTCAACATTGTCAGTTGTAGGCCTGGACAGCTAACGTTAGCCGGGATGCGCTATCAACAACATAGGCTGCTAAAAGCGAGCAGGCAAAGCAACCACTTCCTCATTGCTGGCATTGAGTTGTTGTTGGACCTTGGTGGCTTTGTCTTATGTTTTGTCAGACAAGTTTATTCTGGACGGTTTTTTTATCACCAAAATGCAAGCTATTATCAACACTTAGCTAAGTGTATGCTAGTCTTAGAAGTGTTAAGATGAGCCATCTCAAATGACGTAATTTGTTTATTTAATAAGAAGCAGCTGTGATCCCAGAATAGTGTCATAGTCATCTTACAGCTTTCTATTAAGGTCCAGTGTTTTCTTTGAACTTATAAACGTCAGTTTTCAGAGGCGTGCGATGTATCAGTGATTAATTATCCGGTTAGGATTTACAGCAGCGAGTAAACCAGAGGTTTACCAACCTCCAGCAGGGTCCGTGGATGAATGTTGATAATCTATTTAGATAACCACCATCACCAACTCCAGTAGTCTAGTTTTTAAATACATTTTTAAAATTTCATTCCAGAGTTCATGATACAAATTACAGTCCTTTTAGATCTTGCTACTCTGCAGATATCAGCTTGTCAGTTATGCTGAATACACAATTTTATTTTCCTCTTTTATTGCATTTAGTTGTACTTTAACTTCTCTTCAGCTTTCCAATAACTGTCTGTCTTTTTGTCAGCAGGTGGAGGGATGAGTTTCTCCCCTGTAATTGGCACGGAAGTGCCCGAAACAGCCAATGGGGTGGTGTCACCTGTTGCATTGGAGAATGGCCCCCATGTCTCTGTGAAAAATGGAGGGAGCAGATTGCCAGGTCCAGAGGAAGAATCAGTGGACGGGACTGTTGAAAATGCAGAGAACCATATCAATACAGAAAGCAGAGTTTACAATGAAAACAATCACTTTGACATAGAGACTAACATCAATGAGAGAACATCAAGTTTATCATTACACAGTCCTCAGGAGGCGGAGCCCTCTGCCCCTGTTGGGACGAGCACAGCAGATTCTGAATCAGGATCAACAGGCACAGACATTCCTGAGGACCCTAAGATTCTTGATGCACCTGATGTGGTTCTCATGTGGGATTCAGCTCAGCCTCCACAGCATGCAGAATCATATCAGCAGGGAGATCCTTTCAATTCAGACAGACCACAAACCAAGGCTGTTAATGTAGGCGGAGGCCCTGGCTGCAGACAGGAAGAAGAAGATGGAGGGAGAGAGAAACAGGATGAGGAGGAGGATGAAAAGAATGAAAATAAGTGGCGGAAACAACATACAGGAAGGAGAACGGAGATGGGGGTGAGTGGACTGCATTTCAGCTTTATTAGATTTTGAGTACCAGAGAGCGTAATGTGATTAAAGAGAACGACAGACAACAGATGTAGAGTAATGCGCTTTATTTGAACTAAAAGCAGTGCATGGAAATGTAGCTGACACACAGCCTGCCTGTTTGTGTAAAAAGCCAAACAAGTGGAGGCTTTATTTTGCTGACTTTTAGAATATAGTTAAACATTTTGATGAACCTGAAACTGAGACGAACACAGTGGGATAAAAAGGCATCTTGCTTTCATGTTGGTTTCAAAATAATCTACTGGTGTTCTTCACTTCCTATTTTCTTTTTTCCCCCTCTCCCTCCTTCACAGTCTTCCCGACACTATTCCTCCTCAGCCCCTGGTCCTAGCACCTCCTCTTCTTCTCCTCCACCCCCTCTTCTTCCTTCAGATGACAACCCGTGCCCGCCCCACATTATGGCCCAGGTCTGGGTTCGCAACGTCCGGGGGATGCAGGACAGCAAGAGCCTGGACGAAATCAGCCAGGCCTGTGGCGGTAGGTTTCTGTCACACGTTTGATCATGTGTTTCCTGTGGTTTGGTTCCTTCCTGTTCTGTTTTTTTGTCAGACCTCAGAAATGCGTGTTAGTCATCTTTCTAAAGAATAACAACCAACAAAAGAGGAATTATAGAGTAATGGATGTTAGAATGTCTTAAACTGGTTTCTGTTTTATGATTCATTGAGGTAATTTAGAACATTATGATCTTTCCCTCACAGGTGGGTCAGGTGCCCGAGGAGGGAACAGAAGTGGGCAGTCCGAGGGCCGACGGGCCACAATCTCCTCTGCACTGGAATTAGAGGGGACCGTGAGCCATGAAGGAGACCTCACCAACTTTATCACCAAAAACCTTGAGCAGAAAATCAAAATGAGCTCCAAGCCCAGTCTGGACTGCAGTGATTGTGAGTCATTCCTAATTTGTCCTATTTCATGCTTTAATTTGTGACCCGATGCTGAGATAAAGTAGATCATGTAGTTATGTTTGCACACATAAATGCATTAATTCATTAGATCTTTAAATAGATTGAAAATACTATGCAATAAATACTGTAAGATACTTAATACTAAATCTGTGGAACAGAGGAGAAAGAAAAAAAAAAGTTAAAAAAGTTTCATAGCTGGCGTTTTGTTTTGTTGTAAATTATGTGAAAAAATAAACAATCTCTGGAAGTTTAACAGCTTGATCCAGTGTGGTGGGTTAGTTAGTAGCCTTCTGTCTGGACCTTCTGAAGTAAAACCCCGACAAGCTGAATGCAACGTCCGCTACGCTAGTTTCTCACAGCAGTATGGTCCACGTGCACCTGCCGCTTCGGATAAGATTAGTGGTTCACACACTTTGTTTAAACTGGAGGGATTTGTTATTGAGACCCTGTCACTGCCTGATGGGAAACTAAATTTTTTGCATTTTTGTTGTGTTCACTAGCTCTTTAAATGGTTTTAGTGTTGTATCCTCTAGCTATCTTAACTGTTTAAAAGAATTAAAAAAAAAAAGGTTTTTCCTACTTTAAATGCGTCTATCTAATATAGACATTATTTCGTACCAGCTGACTGCTCAGGTCCCATCTACCGAAGCCGGGGGTTGTCACGCAAACCGGCAGACATCCCACCCATCGATCCCACAGTCCTCGTGGACCTTCAGAAACACACGCAGGAGGTGGCACAAAGTGTGGAGGTGATGATGCGGAGCCTCAATGGAACCATTCAGAACGTGAGTACAAAACATTATCAGTTTTGCTCTCAAAAGTCCGAGTTCATGGAGTTTGTTTCCATCTCAGTGATGATTCTGTTTACTGTATACAGAGAACATACCCACTCCACATTTGTTGTTACGCCTCTCTTAGTGTCACACGTGATCTTTTTGTGCCCTCTTGTGGCCTTGCGTTTATTTCTGAACCCACATTTAGTATTTTGGGAACTGACTTTATGTCTGTCATGCATCCAGATGACAGCTCTGAGTGTGGGCTACATCCAGACCTACAGAGACTCAGTCGACAGTCTGGGAGAGTCTGTAGACATGAGTATCAAGGTACCGTGGTGTTTTTGTGTGTGTCCCTTTGTCTTTGATCAGAAACTGTCCGATGGCTCTTTTTATTGTACTTTTAGTAACTAAAGAAAAGTTTTCTTGGCTCGAATATGACAGAATTCTGATTTTAGCTCAGTGACTGATGTGTTATTATTTGGATAGTGTATCATAGCCATTACACGCTGCGTCATTCCACAGAAATAAAAAGTAACAGCATGTGTGTTATGTATTGTACACTTCAAACTAAGATTTTGAATTAACATAAATAGCTAAATAATTGGAGTTTATCAGCTTTAATTAAAAGAAATTCTGAAAATGTCTTCAGGTCATCAGTATTGCATCCTTTCTGCTTTATTTGAAGGTATCCTCTCTTACTGTATGTGTTTGGTGCCACAGGGCATGTACACGCTGATGGCTCGCTGTGAGGAGTTGGATCGCTCCATGCAGCCCATACACACCCTGGCTGCGCAGATTCGTGACATCAAACGCACTCTGGATGCTCTCGAGGCGATCTGCAAGTAACACTGTCGGCTCGGCCCAAACATACATCCCATCTGCAGAGATTTAAAGGCACGCTGATGTCGGAAAAGGATCTTGGAAAGCAGCCCGAGCGTTGGCAGGTAGAACACACACACTGCATCGAAGAGCACCTCTGGATTCGTGGAGCCATGGCGGCGTCATGCTGGATATTTGCCACTCACACTTCTTCTGTTGACGATTGAAGATGAACACGTTTGTGTTCTGAGGCCCCAAAAGAATCCGTTTGCTCAGTTCTCGGGGATGAGCTTTTTCTCTTCCTTTTTTTTGTCCTCTAATCAAGTCTTCAAACAACAAAATCTGAAAAATTAATTGGTTTTGGAGGCGCTTGTTCCCTGAACACGCATGTAAAAACAAACAGAAACAGATCCTTGAAGATGTTGGAAAGGACGTTTTCTTTTTCCGCTTCTACTCTGAGGAGTGTTTCCTTATCATCCGTCCAGCTTGTGTGGTTTAGATTGCACTAACCTCTCCTCCCCAGAGGGGGGCAATATTTTTGTCCCTGGAGAGGCATGAAGGAACTGCTCGTAAGCCAGAGACCTTTTGCACAGGAACCGAAAGTCTATTTTTTAATCTTATGCAACAAGCAGATTCTCGCTGCAGGCTAAATCCGGGGTGTGGGAGTGTTTGTCTCTTTTATGTGTTTATTTATTCATTTTGCTCGGCATGAATGCTTGTTCAAAAACTCTCTGTGTCATTGGGAGCTGGCTCAGACGGTAATGGATGCTGCAGAATGAGCTCAGCCAGTCACTTTATCAAAAGAAACTCCATACCCTTAAATCACTGCTCTCTTTCACTAAAATGATGCCACTTCTCCTCTGTGGTGTAATTCATGATAATGGGGAGTAACAAGCTTGAATTGTATGTTGGATAGCTCAAACAAATACTTTGAACATTGTCAAAATAATAAAAATCTTCAGACACCTGGATTAATCGGACTTTCAGAAGTCGTCTGGGCAGCTTGAGATTTTTTTTCCTGATCAGTGCTTGTAAATTACATAACACCAAAGTTCTGCCAGCTAAACGGAGCAAAAGTGTCTGCATCATAAAATGAATTTGGACCCCAACATGATTGAAAATCTGATTTCTCTTGGGTTGCCTTTATAGAGATCAGCCAGATATCTGACACATAGCTGGCTCGCTACCGATAGCTGTCCACCTGGGATTGAGTGAGTAAAGTGGAATCCAACCTCAGATCAATCATCTTTAATGTCTGCCTCGCTGCAAGTCTTAACACCTTGTTAATAACCACAAGCTGAGGCCTGAGGCCTAATGGGAGGTTTTGACTCGTGGTTCAATTTAATTCAGTAAAATTTAAGTACTTGAATTATCATTTGATTATCTTTTAAGTGACATTTTTGCTCACATTGTGATAATTACACATTCTACCCTGAAGGAGTCAGTGACAGCGACTAACTGCCTCATACAGACACCGATGTATCATGGAGGTTGGTTTGTAGATGCTCAGCTCTGATTGAACCGTTTGAGAGAATTCATTTTTTGAATTTCAGAGCACGGTTTCAAATCACTTTAGAATTTATTACCAACTCAAAGATTGATATTATCGGCTCTTTGAAACTTAAATTAAGCTTGACTGATTTAAAACGAGGGGGCACGTTCAACATCTCAATCACTTCTGCAGTTCAGGCATTTGTTTGAATACACATAGAAATGTAAAACCAGATCCCAGAAAGCACACTGGCTTCTGGTCTTGCACGGTAGCAGTTCAGTGTCTCCTGCCTCTGCCTCGTCTTCAGCGCGGGAAAGACAGGACCGTTTGTTTGGAAACGAGCTCGCAGCAGTTTGGACATGGCTTATGAACGCGAACTCCATATTTAACTGATTGCAAAGTAAGTATTTATTTCTCTTATGAATCATGAATGAAAATGGCTGCAGAGTCGGTTGCTCTCCCTGCCTAAAGCCACATGCTCCCATACAAAATACTTGATCTAATGAAGAGATATTGGTACTTCTGTCATTGCACTGGTCATTTTTGTGGACCACATAACATGTATAGTACAGAGAGTAGTCCAGTCAAATTTTAATGATTTATTCAAATGTATTACTGGAGATGTTTTAGGGATATTTAATCTAAAAAAGTTTTAATCTGGGACATAGCACTGATATCTACCTCTTTACTGTAGAGCCTGTTGAAAGTGTCAGCTTTGAAGGAGAAAGCAGAAATTCCCACCACAATAAGCATTTCTGGAAAAATATGTGGCTTTGGCTGTTATAAACACACTCCTTGGTTTTGTGTCACTTCAACCATGACAGGAAAATTATTTTAAAATTGGGGGCAACTTTAAAACGTTACACTTGAAATAAGTGTTGTCACCCATAAGCCCCTGATGATGATGATGATGAAGAAGAAGATGATGATGATACAATTTACTAACCAATTCATTGCATGTCAAGATGTCAATGCTCTGGGTTCTTTTTTTAAGGTTATGTTTGAAACTCCAGTAAATTGTTTTTTTGGGTGAAAAAGGACCTCAGAGAAGAAAGAAAGATGCTGTTCTCTTATTCATGAAATATAAATGTAATACTCGCTAATTTCTGTTGTAACATCAGATGTGTCTGTGTACATAAGATCTCTTACTTTAAAATGATTTAGATACCACCTTTGTCTCGAGTGTATATTTTAATGAAAAATAAATAACAAATTTACATGAGCTGCAAAAAGAAAAAACAAAACAAGGGTTGGTCTTCTTTTTTTTGTCTTATCAGTATACGGCCTCACAGAGGAACCGGATGTGGGAGAGGCAGCTTTAAACAGTATTTACATGTATTTTGGATAAAATGTTACACAACAACCCAGAAAAAGACACAAAATGCTGGGATTCATCCTCCATGGATATCTGAGATGTACACTCAAGCTTTTCTCACAGCCATACCTCAGGTTTTATTCTGTGTTGTAGTTTCATTGGAAGTCAGGCAGGGGAGGCCAGAGATCTCAGTGGAGGCTCACAGACCTGTGAAGCCTTCAGTTGTTCTTCACATGCATTATAATGTATTGTACATTATTTGAAATTGATCTCTTTATGTCAAAATTCATATAGTTTTTATTTGATTTTAGTGTTCAATACATTTTCATTGCGATTTCTGCTTCCATTACAATTCTAAATGGAACCCCCCCCTTTTAAAATTGCATTTTGTCCCTCTGTGTCTTGGCACATCAAGTGATAAATTGTTTTATATTCTAGCTTTCTTTTCTAAGAAAAAAATAATCTAAGAAATAATATTTAGATTATGTTCCACTAACAAAGCAACACACCTGTAACTATCCAGGATTCATTGTCTGTCATAAGGGCACTTCAGAGGGGTTCATATTTGCATTTCTAATGCAGACCTCCTAAGTGAAGGCTGAATTAGTTTAAGGTCCCAGGCATAAGCTTCCTGCCCAGAGCAGCAGCAGAACCGCCATGTGGGGGGCAGCGGTCAAACCGGCGGCATCGTCTGTAGGTGCTTCCAGTGAAGGCACTGGACTGCCAGTGTCAGGTGACCCGCTTCCCCTCAGCTCAGTCTCAGAGGCACTTTTTGTTGGGGAGGCGGTCGGTATCCCCTCTACACCTCCAGTGTTCCCTTCTGCCTTTCCCCCGGCAGACGCTCCGTCTTTCGGGGACTGGCGGTCTGAGACGTCCCCGTCTGAGGTCTTGTACCACTGGCACTGGAAATCTTTCTTCCAGATCTCAGCTGGATCTGGCTCAGCTGCTTTAGTGTCGGTCACCGGCTGATCGGTGGATTTAGCTGTCTCTGCCTGAAAAATAAGAGTTTTTATAAACAGATGGGAAGAGGAACACTTTCAACAGCATCAGTGTGGCCAGCTGTGAAGATATGAAAATAAACCGATGATGAAGTCCTCTGCATGCCCCGCAGTATGCCTATTTTTAATCTTATTTATGATCTTTCTGTGATAGATGCATTTTGCCACAGGTCGAGCCCTAACTTTGTAGAAACAGGTACATACATACATGAGGTATGTTCCTGTTCAGTTGCTGAGGATCAAACTCTTCCTGGTTCTCCTCGGCTGTGCCTCGGCCACAGTGTTCCTCTGTGCTTGCTAATGAGTTAAAATAGAGGATCTTTGGGTGAACGCGGCTCCCTGCTGCTAATGTTTCTTTTTTAAATGAAGCACGCTGAGTTGTATTTTTCAGTCTTGCCATTATTTTTTCCCACACAGAGAGACCATCCCAATGGCATGTTTACCTCGTTTATTTAGCCTTTCAGAACATGCACTCATAGCTTGGGAATCAGTTGCTAGCTGGCAGAAAAGGGGAGACATCAAATGAGCAGCTATTACTTAAAAAACTTGAGTGTGATTTGAGTACTTTTAAATACTATGTGAACCTGATTATTTTTTAAGGGAAATACAGTGCAGAAGCATCGATCCCGATATGTGACATTAAGATTTAAAATCAGCCCTCTAAATGATCTTTTTTCCTTACCTTTTCGGTCACTTTTTCTGCCACAGTGGACGGGGGTGGGAGGTGGAGATAAACCGAGCTGTCTGGGTTTTGACGAATGCATCGACCCATCCCCTGGCAGAGGGAGGCTGAGCAGAGCTGAGTTGCCACGGTAACATTGACAGTGTAGGGTCCCAGGACTTTGCGAACAAACTCTGCCAGATCCTGGCACTCTCTCTGGGATAGAGACAGGCGGAGAGGATGACATCGACAGGAGGCAGGAACAGTGTTATGCGCCAAAGGATACAGTTGAAACTTCTCATGTTTCTTTAATGAAAGCAGAGAGGGATTCTTAGGTCAGCCCGGCCCACCCTGCATGCGCATGCCTAGAGCGCATGGGTTACACTCGGTTGTCGTTCTGACCACGCGTGCACAGAATGGACATTTTATTTGGGGCTCTTGAGAGCCCACGGGTTTGAACTATGTTGGGCTGCTGGAATAGACTCACCAGCTCAAATAATACTTATTTTGATTTGAAATTGAGCTCTCCAGTGGGACGCATGCGGCGTATCAAACTCAGGGACATTTAATATAGTGTCTCTGGTCAGGCTGAACGGTACGGGCCCCACAAAACAAAGTCGGGATGATGCACAGTGACAAACAGCTACTGCAACAACAGAACTGAGATCCTGTAAAAAAAATATATTTTTGAACAATTTTTTTGTTTTGTGTTTTACCTCTGTCTTGGTGTCACTTCTCTCCCAGATGACCACTCCTGCAGCTCCTGTCGCAGCACTTTCTCCTATCGTGTTGACTAGATCAGCCTGTTAAGCCAAAACTAAAGGGTCAGTTTTAGGTTTTACACAGGAAAAACTCTCCAACACGTGTTTCATTCCAAATGCTGTGGCTTACCTGTGATAAGAAGGTTTTAGTTGAGGCATAGACACTCTTGATGAGAGGAAACACAGGCAGATCAAAGTCTGCTTGGGCCAGAGACGACACCCGGAGTGCTTCTTTTATTTGACCTGATAAATAAAGCCTTGCTCCGGGGGTCCCGCCCTGTAAAAAGATAAATGGCCAAAGACAAACACGTCGTCCATTAAACTGAAAGTTAGCTCACCTCTGTACTGGATTTTTGTTTACTCGGAAATGCATCCACAAACTTTAACAAGGAGAAAGGTTCACGCCACTCGCAGCATTTTTCATATGTGGGCTGACACGGTTGTGTTTCGGTTGTCAGGCAGTGGTTGTTAATTGTTCTGGGGCTGAGTGTGGAGTGGGCTGGAGCTCTTGTTACCTGTCGTCTCCTTCACCCTCACAGTCTCTCTGTGTTTGTATTCCACCAGCTCTGACGTCTTTGGTGTTTTATGTGAGACATTTCTTATTGTAAAAAAGCGGTTTCTTTGGTTGTTTTTGTGGTACTTTTCAGTCTTAAGTGGAGGTGGTTAGCGTGACCCTTAACTCCAGGCACCCTCGCGTGCTATAAATGTCTTCCTCCTACACCAGACCTGTGGTAAGTGAGCTCACCTGCAGCTTCTCCAGGGTCAGGAGGGGGTAGATGGCAGAGCATCGCTTCCATAACCAGACGAGCTGGTCGTTCAGGGCCGTCTCTGCTGGGGGGCACTGGCCGGTGTAATTGGCTAATGCAGTCTGAGTGGGGTCGCTGTAGCAGCCAGGGTAAGGGGAGAACCCCCACAACGCTTTTGGCCTCAACCTTTTCAGCTCTCGTAACGTCTCCATCATGACTGACTGGGCCGCCGCCTCGAAGTCTACCTGTGGAGAGATGAGGGCATCTTTTCAGTCTAATGCAGACTGGTATTAGTTTTAACACCCGCCTTAAACATTATTGATCAGAGTTTATATGAAATATCCTGTGCTGTAGGTCTACCACCTTTGCCTTAATCCCCTATCTCCAGTTAACCCTTCTTACCTGTGACCACTTCTCAACTTCTTCTGGCGTCCAGTTTGGGAAGAAACTCGTCATTAAGTTCCTGGATGCATCCTGATACATGGCCCGTTCCTCCTGATTCCTGTTCCACTGGGGGAACCACTCTGCCCAGCGCACCACCCCCAGCCCCAGGTACCTGGGGGCTGGTAAAGCTGTCTCCAGGTCTTGCTGTGTCTTCTGGATGTGGCCGTCCAGCCGCGTGTGCTGCGGAAGCCCGCCATTCACTGGTGTGTTTTTATCTACAAAATATGGGTAGTTCCCCAGTGTGTCTTCATAGAATATGGCCACACGGCCCTCTCGCTCCATGCCGAAAGATGTAAGATCCAGTTGGCTGGAGCAGGAAGAGTCAGGAATGCCCCAGAAGATAATAAAAGGCTGTCCAGACAGGAGGGGAGGGCGGGCGGGCTGGGGTGGACCGGCCCTGCAGGGGCCAACAAAGGCAGCGAGCAAAAGGAGAAGGGCTGCTGATGGAAACGCAGTCCGGGCCAGCAGTTTGCCAACTGCCAGACTGGACTCTGGCTGTAGGTCTCGATGGAGCTGTGGTTCGGTCCACGCCATTGAAGCGGCTCAACCCTTCAGGCCCTCGCAGTCAATCATGTTGCTGAAATCCAAAGGAAACAGATATAAGTCAGTCTTTCAATGAAGTCACTCAACAAAATCTAACAACAACTCGAAACGCGTCAGTATTGTACTCAGAGCAACTTGGTGGTCATTTAGCTGAACGCTCGCCACTTTGGGCTGCCCTATGGCAGAGGGGCTGGAAATGGATGGCAGATGTGAAATGCATACACAAAAAATAAGGAAAACTGGTGTTTATAGGGGATTATGTTTGTGTATATTTTCCTATAATTGTGCCACAAAGAACTGCATGCGTGTGTGTCGGCCATGTGCGATAACGGTGTAAAACCTGCTAATGAGGCTTTAAAGGGGAGCATGTATTTAGAGGAAGTCCTTTCTGACAGATGGTTCATGCACTACATTAGGTTTCCAAATGCTGTTTAAGAAAGCATCCGACGCACCATTCTCCATCTGTGAATCCCTGTTCTCTCCTGAACAGCAAAAAGCACAGCTGCATTAGCCGAGCGCGCTGTGTGGCAGATAAAGCGGAGTAACTTAGAGCTAATGCGTTTTTTTGCTTGTTTGTTAGTTTGTTTTTCTCATTTGTGATCTCAGTTGATTGTTCCGTTACTTTTATCACCAGCCAACAGTCTTGCTCTTTTTGGGATTCCACAGCAGAGGCATCAAATAAAACGTTGTATTTTCTCCTCACTGATGTTTTTCGGTTTTTACGTTTGATCAAATTGTGCCTGTTTCTTCTGGTCCATTTGGTGTTGGTTCAAATGACGTTTTTAGATGCAAATGTTTGATGTGGGAGATGTCTGCATCCATTTTCAGCTACATATGATAGTGGAAATCATAATTTTACCATGTTTTTTAGAGCCATATTTGTTTATTTGGTAAAAAATAATGTACACGCACATTTCTGTGTTTCTTTTCTGCATTCCCACTTTACTTTTTATATAAATAGTTTTTACTATAAAAAAACATTTAAAGACATAAAAAGGTTATTAAAATACATTAGTGATCACTTTCGCTTGGACAAAATGGAAATTAATTGACTGTGTGGACAAAGATGAAAGTATTTATTTGGTGATTCAGTTTTTCTTTTATATCTCTGACTTTAAACATATGAGCCATTATCAAAATAAGACCATCCTGCACCAGCTTTTAAAATGTGAGGGAATATCACAGAAAAATCATTTGAAAAATATGTTTGTTTGGGTATAAAGTTTGTTATGAACATATAGGATACAGCATTCAGAGACCTGAGATTAGTTTTTGTATTCTTTCACAATGTGCAGTTGGTTGAATTTTACAGGATGAGTTAAAGAGGTTCTTTGGCAAGAAAACATCACTGTAGCCATAGTTAGAGTATGGGTTTGAAATTAAGTGTTTAAAGCCAATTCAGCCAATCTACCCAAAACATGCTGTTGGTTATGGATTAGTCAAGCACGCCAAAGCAAATTCTGATATCCATCTTCAAATTAAGCTTAAATCTTCTTATTTGTCTAGTTTAAATGAAACCGTCTGTGAAAATCAGACCTCATCTGAGTAACACATCGTGTGGAGATGGAATCTGTGGGTCACATGGCGAGATTCAGTTTTAATAATAAAAAAAAACCCTGCAAAAACCCAAAAACCTGTATTCGCTGGCAGATTGCTAATTGGCTCCATAAAAAAATGACGGATTTTTACATTTTCCTGGTTATTTTGTTCACCACGAAACTGTCACTTTAGTGGCAAAAGTTCGACAATTGCTTGTTAGCTGTGGCTGCTCTCCTAACAAGCCATTAAAAAGGGAAATGTTCCGCCGTGTGAGAAGTCACTAGGCGGAAACATAATGGCTACCTTTCTAAATGCCACATCTTCCCGCCACGCACAATGTGCCGCTTGCAATAAATACAAATGAAAGGGGGGACGCCGGCACCCTTTGCCTCCCTCCCTCTCCTGCACATCTCCCACAGGTGTTTGCAATTAGCCCAGCTCGTTAGATGATGGAAAATCCATCATGTAAACACGACAAAACAGAGGAGAGTGAGGTCTGCCTGTCAAGCAGGTGTTGTGAACACAGTGCATCATCTTTAATGGAACACCGATGGAACTTAAAAGGAGTTGTGTTTGATTTCATGATCCTCTTATAGTGAGATTTTGTGCTAAAAGATACGAGCCGAAGAAGTCGCGAGTTCCCGTCCGTGCGTGTTCTTCCTCAGTCATTTGTCTCCAGGTTAGTTTTTTTTAACACGGTGCGTGATTAGTGTTTAATTAACTGATTAGAAAAACACTTTCGACGATGGAGGTTAATTTGCACCTTCATCGTGAAATGTGTTTAAAATCCTAAGAGGTGTCTCTAACATTTAAAAAAAGACACGGAACAGATTTCAAAAGATTATCTGCTTCTTCTTTTAAACTTGCAAAGGTTTTTTTTTTACAATCTGATTTTAACTGACATGACAGGTGTTGAATAAGCCTTCAGATAACCAACATTTTAAGCCAGTAAGTCCACTGAGGTCACAGTATCCTGAGGATGCTTCTCTTTTTCTTTTAATCGTTAGACTAGAAATACATGCGCAAAAGAAAAGAAACCAGAGAGCAATTTGCAGCTGTTGAAATGTTTCTAGCTCTAAAAAATATCAAATAATCAGAGGTGATTAGTTTGATCATCTTTAAATGTAGACTTTTGCTATTTTCTCTCAAATATTGAATACAAATACAAATATAATTAAATCAGAACCTTCTAAAAGAAGTATAACTATATAAGGAATGTTGGAATTAAGTGTCACAGAAGATTTGGAAAACAGTGGCAATTATTTTTTGTTCATAAATGCAGTAGCAAGATTTAACAAAATAAAAAAATAAAAAGATATCCGGACATAGTGTCAGTGACCTCATATCAAAAGTAGTTGAGAAAACTTAAAAACAAAGTCTTCTGTTTCCACATCAAATATGACTGGAATTCTGGACTTTTTGTTTTACTGTAATCAACCTAAAAATGACGGAAAAAAAGGTTGGTTGCTTCAGAAGAGTTTGTCATTTGCAACGTGTTACCACACAGGAGTAAAGGCGATGACCTAGAAGGAAAACCAAAGAGCTTTAAAGAACTTCCTGTGGATGATAGATTGAAAGCAGCCGGAACTCTTAATGGTTCCAAATGTTCCAGTTAACAGCGGTGATAAACCATATTCTGACCGGATATGAAGCTGTTTCGGCTCATTATTGGAAACACATCTTCTAAAAATGACTGTTTCTGCTTTTTAGGGGTTGTAAAATCCACAACCTGAAGTCCCACCATACTGCATGTAATCCCTCACTTACCGCTTGTGAGTAGTTAATATGAGAACCGGCTAATCTGTTCCGGATAAGCCTCTTCTCTCTGTTTACTTTTCTCCGTGGTCAGAGGTCGATTCTGTACCTGCCATCTCCACTGCTCAAACAACACCTGAAACTGCATGTTGGGAGGTCCTCAAGACTAAAGCAGGTGTCAAATAGCTGGATTTTCTGGAACAAATGAACTTAATCAGCCACGTTTTGTTTTCTAATATTTGTTCCCAACGACGGGTTTAATTATTTTAATAACTTTTGTTTTTCCCTTTAAATACATGAATTATTCTTTTCATGACTATGCCCTACAACCAAAAGGGAACTGATTATTTTCACAGCATTTCAGATTTCTCCCAGCGTCTCTCCTGCTCATTTTTATCTCACAGATCTTCCGTCTGCTCCTCTCCCTTGAAAGCCACCATGCTGTGCCAATTACGCAAGGAAATGCAGTGTTTTAACCTGCTGGGAATTTAATTTGATCCTTTCATCACCAATTTTTTATTTTTTATTTTTTTACAACAACACAATCCTGCCTAAAATGTTAAATTTAGACTTCCAAGTCTCATTTAATTACCTTGCAAGTTGAAGCTGTGTGCTTTTATCTGCACTAGGCTGCTATCCATCTTTAAAGCCCACGATGAATATTTGGACACATTTTGTTAAATTAAGTTTCATCTACAGGTTACTTCAATTTACTTCCCCCAAACCTGACAAGATTAGGGGGAAGGACAGTCTGCCCTTTAAGAGTCTGTTGACAGCCATACGATGCTGTTATACCTTCCCAAAGGGGCGTTTTTGCTCTTCGCATGCGTTGCTGCTCATGAATCAACAGAATGACTCGGTATGGATATGAAAGCAACTGGGATTAGAATGACAAATGTGTCACACCAACCCAAGGCCAACAAAAGAGGCATTTCAGATGACCGAGCTGAATGTCCCTCCCCTCAACTCTGTATCATTAATAATTTTTTAGTATTATGCTGCAGCATATGTATAAATATATATATATATATATATTAGATAAAAAAGTATGCTTATTTTAGCTGAAAGTAACCTGTTAAATGAATGATTTAGTACACATACATCAGCCAGAACTTTTAGTTTTTTGTTGGCTGTGATTTCTCTCTCCCTTCATCTTTTTTATGGACACTGTAATGAAAATAGTTTGAAACTTGTGTTGGATTATAGTTAAGGAGAAGCATCTTTAAGTTTTCCCCATCTGACTAAATTTCCTGAGGCCTTCAGGAGTTATTTTTAGCTCACACTGAGTCCTGTTTCTTACATGGTTCATGTTGCTCTAAATTTCTTTGCTGTAATTTTCGCAAACAAGCGTGAGATCTCCACATAGAGGTTTGGTAAATGCAGCATGATATGAGGTTAAAGGCCGAGGGAGACGATAAGGAGGCTGGAACACTCTGTAAAGTGCTGCATGTTTCCACGGCTCAGAGAAAAGAGGCCCAATACAAAATGCCAAGCTTCTGAGTTTGTTTTAGTTTTGAGATTTTTGTCGATTTCAGACACCTACCTGAATGTTCTCAAGCATAGAACAGTGATTATTTTTCTTTTAAAATAAACCCAGATCTGTTGCTTTTCCCCACTGAAACCACAGCATCACAACCCATCAAACTATTTGCGTTCAACCACCACTTCCAGACGATAACAGAGGCAGAAAAGGCACA